TGCCCAAACCCAAATCCTCGAGTAACAATACTCCAGTTGGCCTCAGTTAATTGTTTCAACCGTTGTCAATATGTGTGATGTACCTTGAACGGTCCTCCACACATATTGGGAGTCCATTTATTAACCTTATTTTTGGTCATCATCTCCTCCGCATCATTTCCCTTATCTAGGCCTATGTTGCTACTTAGTATTCGTAGGTGGTTGATCTTGACCTAACTTAGTGCTTGAGTTTACTTGGAAGGTGCTTAGGTTTGGCTCAAATTAAAATTAAAAAGTATACTTATACCAAATTTAAATCTAATTAAACAAACCTATATTAATACTCAAATTTAAACTAAAACTAACTAAATACAAAATGTTCCCGAAACAAACATAAAATAAATATGGGCTTAAAATTAAACTCAAAATTCAAAATCAATCTAAATTCAAAATTAAAATTAAATATAATCTAAACAAATATATAAGTTATATTAGAATCAACCTTATTCATTGGGTGATTCAATAACAAGTAAGATAGCATTTATGTAAGGATTGATGATTGGGCGTAAGATTTGTAAATACATATGAATTAAGTGGTATGAATGTAAATAAATTTTTTTTTTCAATCCTAAGAACGACGAAAATAATTGCAACTAATTTTTTTTCCGTCTAATATTTTATCTATTAAATTTAAATACTTAATTTTTCTTAAAAAAACACTATATACAAGTCCATTCTTATTTTTTATTTAAAAAGAGTACTATTATTATTTTTATTATTATTATTCTGTTCAATCGGATTTCCGTTTGGGGCAACTTATAAGTCCGCCGTACCGTTTGATTTCGCGTGTTTCGTCAGCTCATTCGAAACCACGTTTGAGTTTTTACACTAAACGAAGGCCGCAGACTGAACCCCGCGGCCCGCCCGTGAGCCATGTTTTAGGATAAACAGCCTATCCTGAAAAGTATAAGCTACCCCAAACGCACACCTAAAAGAAACTCCTCTACTGCGTTTAGAAAATAATTTTTTTAACTTAGACGAGTCATGCATCATGATAAAAGATGAAGCAACACACGCACACTCAGCCATAACTTATAGAACTCCAAACACCATAACCTCAGCATCAGCTAACAATAAAACACCTTTCGAATAACCATTGGCCACTCCCCCTGTTTTATGTTTCCCTGTTGCAGTGGATTCTAAATGGCGGTTATTCCCGCACGCTTCGTCAGCCTAATCGGCGTAAGCCTTTAAAGCCAACAAGTTAACAAGTAAATTTCAATATAATTGTAGTAATTAATGAGAAGCTATATTTAATAACAAATTTATACTTTTTTTTTCCCAAAAATTAAATAAAATAACAAATCCTAATAGCTTCTCATTAATTACAATAATTTGATTGAATTTAAATTTAGAGTTTTTTCTATAATTTTTTTTATTAATTTCTATCAATGATTTTTTTAAATCGTATATTATGTAATTTAATAATTTGTTTATCTATAAATAAAGTACTATATAAATAAAATATTACTACCTACTTCTATAATTGAATGAGTTTTATATAAAATAATGACCAATTATTCCAATTAACTTTTTTATTAAAAAAATTTATAGAAATTTTCTAAAATAAATATAGCATAATTTTTTATTGATCATTCTTTAATTAAAATATTACATAAAAAAATTAAAAAATTGAATATTTAGCTTAAATAATGTATCATAAGACATTTAATTTTGTGATGAAAGATATTATATTTGATTAAAAAATATCTTTATTTGAACAAAATGTTATATATTTAGATTAAATATCTCAAAGCAAGTAAGAAAATAAATTAAATATTATAGTTAATGTTTATTACAAAGATCGCACATGGCCCTAATTTAAAAATCTAAACCTTATTTCGGTGAAATAGTATCCTTCCGCGCATTCTATTTTTTTTTATACATGGCAACAATAAGTTCGGAGTTTATTATTATTATTATTATTATTTTTGGAGAGAGTTTTCTTAGAAGATGTGAATCATATCTTTCGTGAGCTCCAGCCGTCTACACTACACATATCACCTTCGCATCCGTTATCCAAAAAATTATTCCATACGGATAACACATGTAGAGATGAATCCCATCTCAACCGTCGATCATAAAAAATTGTATTTCGTTGGGCCATATTTTTTTTTTAAGAATAAAAAATTATGATCGGAGATCGAGATCGGATCAGCTTAAGAATTTGGATGCACAGCACGCCATGGTGCCGTACCTCTGTAATTCTTCTTAATCAAACTTGCCATAAGCGTGCCAAAGACACGTGTCGCAAACTCGGTAGATGACGTCAACTATCTCCCTCCATTCCACGAGTACGAGGGAGCGCATGCCGATAAACATGAACTTAGCCATTGAAAAGACAAATGGTTACCCAAACAATCTCAAATTTCTTTCCCGCAGCAGCTATAAAAGGGTAAGTTCAGCTCCAGTAACCAAAAATTGAACTTTCTTCAATCTTCATCTCCTGCTTCTCTTTCAAACTCCAAGCCGTGTTGTATCACCTGAAGCCATGTCGAGCGGCCCGCCATATTTGCCGCCGGGCTTTCGCTTCCACCCGACCGATGAAGAGCTCATCCTTCACTATCTCTGCAAGCGATTGGAGGCGGCGCCCTTCCCTGCGTCCATCATTGCTGATGTCGATATATACAAGTTCAATCCTTGGGACCTTCCAGGTGGGCTCTGTTCCATAAAAAAATTTCAGACCTTGATTTAAATCCTGATTGTCTTTACTGATTCTCTGATGCAGAAAAAGCTAAGTTTGGGGATAGAGAATGGTACTTCTTCAGCCCCAGAGATCGAAAGTATCCGAATGGCATCCGGCCTAATCGGGCGGCGGCGTCGGGATACTGGAAGGCGACTGGAACTGATAAGCCGATAACGAAGGGGGAAGGAAATGAGAACATTGGAGTTAAAAAGGCGTTGGTGTTCTACAGGGGCAAGCCACCCAAGGGTGTCAAGACTAACTGGATCATGCATGAGTACAGACTTGTTGAGTCTCAGAACAGAATTAGTAAAAGCAGGGATGTGAAACCAAGGGAGGACTCCATGAGGGTGAGACATGAATAGAACCTTGATGACTTCCCATCTTCTCTGTTTTATCATCTGGCTGATTTTTTATTACTAAACTTTGTTAAAAATCAAAATTTGTATGTAGTTGGATGATTGGGTTCTCTGCCGAATCTATCAGAAGAACAACTATCACTCTTCGGCAGATCAAGAGCGCGAAGACTCTGCCGGAGATGAAGCCAGCATGCAGAGTTCAATGATCAATAAAAAGATGCACAAGTCCTTCTCCTTGTCCGAGCTATTAATCGAGGAAGCTGATTTCTCTTTACTGTCTCGGCTCCTGGAAACGCCATCTAACACCACCGTTTTAGATCAGGCTCCATTTCAAAACACAAATTTAATTCGGCCTTTGACAGAATACATCGGCAGCACAAGCAGCTGCTACTTGACGTCGCAAGTCCAACAATCAGAAGGCTCTGGTTTTGTTCCTGAAAACAGTTCGAAACGACAAAGAATGTCAGCAAACTGTGATTTTGATGAGTTTGCAGATTATATGAAGAAGTTTAACATTTGTTCATCATACAATTACGACCAACTTAGCAAGCAGTTTGATTGCTCCCAGCCTTTCTTCTACCAGCATCTATAAGGCTGAATTCAGATGCATGAAAAAAAAAAAAACAATATAATTTAGAGCATACATGGAATATATGATAATGCTAGAGTTTCTTGATGGAAATCTGGGAGGTTAGGTTAAGCTCGTGTGATCGAAGCTGGTTAATCATAATTTTGGAAGAGTGCATACTTTATGTTTATGAATTAAAGTTTGTTTGGTATTTATTTTTTCTTCTTTTTATGAATATTAAAATATAATCAGCTATTTCGTTTGTGTATGTGGTCATTTAATTTAGAAAATTCGAGTGGACAAAAGGATGCATCCATTCGTTAGGATGGATTGGAAAATTCAATGAACGAGCAAACTCGCATTGGAATCATTAAAAGATGTTGATCGATAGATAAGTACGCGCATATGTCTAAAAGGACTAAAGAAAAATAATTCTATACGTAGAATGAAGTCAATTAATTCCAAGGAATTAGGAATATACCATCAATCATTACTCTTCAATCCTTGTAGCTTGCCCCCGCACTCACGTGCACATTTTCTGTCCGGACACCTAACGTACCTCTACGTGTGCTTGCCCCCGCACTTAACGTACCTCTACGTGCGGTGCAGATTATTCATGGGTTATTTTCAGGTTATTTCTGGGTTATTTTCAATAATCTCGAAATAACCCAAAAATAAAGACCGCGGGTTATTTCTGGGTTATTTCGGGATTATTGAGAATAACCCAGAAATAGCCTGAAAATAACCCAGAAATAGTCTGCGCCGCACATAGAGCTAAGTTAGGAGTCCGCACAGAAAAATTTTAGCACACTCACGCCAGGCCAATGATTTAAAAATTGGATCAGATCGATCTGTATGTCCGGTCTTTCATTAAATTGATGAGAATCGGCCAAATGCAGCGTCCGTTGTCCGCACGTCCGGACTCCGGATAGAAAAATCGCTCTGAGAATAGAGAGCCATTGGATTCAGATCTTGACAAATTAATCACTGCTCATTTTTAAGCTACATGATAAATATAAATTGATGTATAAAAATGTAAACATTTATAAACTTGAACAATTATTTTCTAACTTTTTCCCTAAAATCATTGTCCGATTGCTCCTTGTATCAATTTTTTTGTCAATTAATAAAATGTTTACACAAGTCAATATATGATTTTTTAGTGTTACAATTATATTAAAAGTTTGTTTATGTTAATGATACTTTTAATGTGGACTTAAAACTATGGGTGTTATAAAAGTAAATATCTAGAATTCTGAGAATGAATATATGTGTAATTACCTAGTAAATGTGGTATATAGTTAAACTGCATATAAAAATAATTAAGATATTATTTAATCAATTTCAAGTAAATAAAATATTAAGATAAAATTTTATTTATTCTTTTCACATTTTTTATGTCATTCCATGCAATTTTGATTCAACATAGTTAAACTACATATAAAAATAATTAAGATATTATTTAATCAATTGCAAGTAAATAAAATACTAAGATAAAATTTTATTTATTATTTTTACATTTTTTATGTCATTCCATGCAATTTTGATTCAACTTTCAAAGGCTAAATGCATATATCTAACAAGCTAAACCTTAATATCTATATTCACATCACTCAAATTTATAACAACAAATAAAATAAAACAAATTTATTAATTTTTAAAAAAAATCAAATGCACTTTAGGTGTTAAATATGTAAAGCACCGAGCTGTATTAAATATAAATAGTAAACTTTAGGTGTTAAATATGTAAATTCATAAGAATTGTGGTATATATGTAAATTTTCCTTTTGGAAATTTTGATGTAAACTATAATATTGAATTAAAAATATAAAGTTTTAGCGTAGATGAACGTTTAAACCAATCACCTGATAAAACAAGTGAGGTAATTCTTGTTCACTCGCTGTGGAGACAAGTAGCAAACTGAAAATATTTTTTACAGTCTTTCATCATTAGCTTGCTGGTCCATTGCCAATTCATCTGTTTTGAAGAGTTCCCAACAAAGTCATCCGAATGGCACTACCCTTTCCACCATTAGGGTGGTGATCAAGCTAAGCTGAACTGAGTATGTCGTGCATTGGATTTGGCATGGCTGAATTATAAGTTATTCATGTTCAATTCGAAAGCTTTCATATATATGTTCATATTTGACTTCTTTAAACATTATAATGGTCATATTAGATTTATACTTTGTACATAAAAAATCTGACAATGCGAATTTTGAGGAAGTTTAACTGATCACATAAAGAAAAAACCAAAGGACTACAACATTGCGGTAGAAAGAATGAGCCATCAACATCATTTCATTCGGTCGGAACATGGACCGACCAAAAGAAAGTACATCCGAACAAAGGAACGCTTTGCTCTTGAACAAGCAAATGCCATGAGAAATCGACTGCAACCCATCCGGGGTCACTCACAGAGAAGATCAACGGTCACTCGACAAAACTCATTGTCAACCTTTTATGAAGAACTCTTATTCGAAGAAAGACGGTCCATTAGATTATGGTGGCACATTTTTTGCCTGATGGATTAAATCTTTCTTAATGATAAAGGGGTCCCCATGAAGGGTTCTATCTAGAAAGGTGGCCGAAGATCTATCAACTGACTGAAGGACTTTTAGCTGACCTAGTGAAGATTAGGTGTCCCCGTTAAACAGTTACAAATATGAAATGCTGCTGGTAGTAGTTACGAATGCGGACGACGGCGGTTACTAATACACCTAAAACATATAGTGTTTTTAAATACATTTTTATACATATTTTTGAGATATTGCGCTTTGATGGAAGATATTTGTGTGTTTTTCTTTAAAGTACAAATAAAAAGATGAAAAATGCTAAAATGTTTAAAAAGATCAAATTTGGAGCAAAAATATGAAAATTGTGCTAAAGTGTTTTGGCGCCTAAGCGCCAGTGAAACAAAGAAGGCCGTGCCTAAGCGCCAGAGGCTCCGCGCTTAAGCGCCAGAGACAGTTATGTGATAATTTACTTCATTTTTTCAAATTTTGAAGGGACATTTGTGGCACCTATTAGCTAAAGAGGGTGGTTATGTCCACTAGAAACGAAATTATAGTTAGAAGGCTTATGAAAGGAGACATCCTTTCAAGAATACATCGAATTGGGACACATTTTGATGAGTTATCAAGGCACCTCCTAGAGATTTATAAAAAAAGGAAGTTGAGACTTTTTGAAGTGTGCTTGAAAGTTTTGAAAAATGCTGGAAAGGGGGAGTTTTGAGAGATAGTTTTGGAGAGATTTTCAGACACTACATATTTATTTTATCATTTTATTTTTAGTTTTATTTAGAGAGTCAAGAGTGTTGTAAAAGAGAAGAGATTCAAAGGAACTTCAAGAATTTGGTGGAGGATTTGAAATAAGTTTTTATCTTTTATTTTTAAACTACTTTTAGTTTTAATCGAGACTTCTTGTTGGTTTTATAATGATTTCTACTTTTAAACTAAAGTGTGGTTTTGTTTTCTCCATGGATTATGAGTAGTTTTCCTTATCTTTCTCCTTAAAATGATAAGTGATTAAAGTGCTCGATGGAAGTCGTGGAGAGTTGATCTTTAATGTTGGAAGAAGTTGTGATGATTTAAATTCATGTACTTCATTTACTTCTTGATTTTTGATTTGGCTTATCATGATGTTAAAATTTGTTGTGAGTACATGTAAGAACCGGGCTGGTATTGTCTCAGTCAATAATTGGAAAGTATCACATATCACATGAGGTTGTCATGAGGTTGTATGAATGAGAATGTAATTCATATGATTTAGTGCAAATAAATTGGGAAATAGTCTTTGAAGGGTGTAGAGTTAGAAGACTTTAAAGTGACTAGTTAAAGCCTCCAACTTGGTTTATTATTTTAGAATCTAAAACGAGATGTTAGCCCCCAGGTGGAGAGAATCGAGGGAACTCTAGAGTGAGAGCTAGTATCTTCCCTGCCTA